GTTCAAGTGAACCTGAGTCCCTGGACCCTGTCTTCTGCTTTCTGTTTTCTTCACTGAGAACAAGACAATGCCCAGCAATCCTAAGGAATGAATGGATGTTTTTAGCTCCAGTAGCAGCCTTTGTGAATTTTGAGAATTCAGAAATTTCAGATTTGGATGTCAACTGACCACTTGGACTTATTTGTCAAAATAGCACCATTTTCAGAGAAGATTGTCATCACCAAAAGGATTCTTTAGTGAAAGGTCTAAATAAAGCCCAAGTCATAGTCACATTGGATAGAATATCTGCACCTTGTGAGTTGTTCAGGAAGTGCAGAGCTGAGGGGAAAGAGCAATATTTACTAACTATCCGTTCAGCAGTCTCACAAAGTTTTCTCACCCCCTAGGAAATCATAATGATTATAAATGGCTATTTGAGATGTTTTATGTTTCTGAATTTCTTAACGTGCGTTTTTGGAAAGAAGGAAGGAAACAAACATTTATTAAGTACCTACTGTACTCCAGGCACTGTGCTATGAGCTTTACATATATTATCTCATTTGATTCTCACGACAGCACTCAGAGGTAAGTGCTGTTATTATGCCAATTTTTCCAGGCTGAGATTAGGTGACTTGTTAAGGATCACACAATTAGTAATGTCTGAAATCTGATTTTTGAACTTAGGTCTTTCTGACTCCAAGCTCAGAGCTCTATTCATTCTGACACCCAGTTGCCTTTTGCATTTTGTTCTGTCTTAAGGATTTGCTATGATGGAGAAAATAATCCCCAATCTTATACTTGATATTTACATTTTACATGGAGTACATCTTCTAGGCAATTAGGTGGCACAGTGGATAGAGTGCCAGGCCTGAGGTGGGGAAGACTCATCTTCCTGAGTTGAAATCTGGCCTCAGACACTAGCTGTATAACCCTGGGCAAATTATTTAACCTTGTTTACCTCAGTTTCCTCATCTGTTAAATGAACTGGAGAAGGAAATGGCAAACAAACCATTTGAGGGTTTACAAAGAGTAAGGAAAAACCAAACAACAAAACTGTGTTTTAGAAGGGAACCTATTAGTCTTTTATATACACACACACACACACACACACACACATACATATACATACATACATATATGTATATATATACACACATATAGATATGTCCATACACATATGTATATATATGTGTATATGTGTATGTGTCTCTGTGTGTGTATGTGTGTATAAACCCTACACATGAGCTAAGTTTTGTTTTAGACATTTTCTTTTGGGGTTACTACCAGGTAGTAGAAATGAGCCAATCTGAGAGAATCCCATATCTTCCCTTCCCCCTACCCCCACCTCCACCTCTGAACTTAATCTTTGAGTCCAAAGTCCTTGTGGGAATTGATACCCTGTAAGTTTGGCCACACAAGTATTAACCATAAACTCTATCTATGACAAAGAAGGAATAAATTGAGGTTATTAACTGGATAAATTATATAAAAGTAATTGTTAGAATTATATAATTTAGAGATATCTATCTATTCAAGTTTCTTCCTCTTACTGATAAGAACCTGAGATCCAGAGAAACAAAATGATTTGCCTAAAGTCATATCTTATACTACCTAGATTTTTTTTAAATCTTGGATTATCTGTATTTCTTGTTGTTGTTCAGTCTTTTCAGTTGTGTCCAACTCTGTGACCTTATTTGGTGTTTTCTTGGCAAAGATACAGGAGTGGTTTACCATTTCCTTCTCCAGCTCATTTTACAGATGAGGATACTGAAGCAAACAGGATTAAGTGGCTTGCTCAGGATCATACAGGTATTAAATGTCTTGGGTCAGATTTGAACTCAGGAAGGTAAGAATTCCTGACTTCAGGCCCAGCACTCTAACCACTGCTCCACCTACTGGGTTTCCTCATCTATAAAATGAGCTGGAAAATTAAATGGCAATTGTTTCCATTATCTTTGGTAAGAAAACCAAGATGGGGTCCAGAAGAGCTGACATGACCGAAATGATCGAACAACGAAAACAACAAGAAAGTAGATGGCACAATAGAGTATTGGACTCAGAATCAAAAGACCTGAGTTTGAATCCTACTATATCATGGCTTTATGATCCTGGACAAATCACTTAACTTCTGTCTGCTTGTTTCTTCACTGCCAATGGGAAGAATAATATAGCACATGTTCATAGAGTTGTTGTGAAGATCAAATAAAATAACATCTAAAGGGCTTTGCAGACATAAAAATACTATTTAAATGCTAGTTATTATTCTTATTAGGGTCAACTTTAGGCAAGAAAGCACTATTTAATATGTCATGTAATGAGATATTTCATAAACAGATCTATTCTCTGCATTGCAAAAAAAAAATCATTAGAACTTGGCTCAAACCCCTTGGGCAAAACAAATATAAAGTTAAATTGTGTAATAAGCATAACAGCTACTTTTAAATCCAAACCTTGCCTTATCCGATTCATGTGGACACACAGAACCCAAAGGGAACACCAGTGGTAAGACTGTGTTAATAACACCAGAAATTCTTTCCTGGTCTGTTGTGGATGTGGTTCATTGCTTGTGATACTTCTTCAATTTAAATGGGCATGAGATAAACATCATAATCTATTTAAGACAGAGATTCAACAATCTAATATGTGTTGTTGTTGCTATTAGTTGGTGTGAAATAGTTGTATAGAATGCTGGATCTGAAATCAAAGATCAAAATTCATATCCCACATCCCTCATCCTACCTCTGACTCTTATTAGTCGTATGACCTTGAACAACTCACTTGACCTCTCACTGCCTCTAGAACTCTCTAGAACTTAGGTCATTGGTAAAAAATGGGCTATATCCATATCAGTGAAGAGAGATCTCACCCAAGGTTCCCTACACTGACTGACAAAATCACAGTTCCTCCCAAAATTCCTATGCCTTATTATTAGCTAGCATTTATATAGTCCTTTACATTAGCTAAATGCTTTGTATACATTTTCTCATTTGAGATTTATAATAATCCTGGGATGGAGGTATTATTATCACCTTTTTACAGATGAGGAGACTGAGGATCATGATGGCTAAAAGATCTACTCATGATTATACAGCTTAGAAAGATCAGATGTTGATTTCTAGCTCAGGTCTTGCTGTTTCTAATATTCTATATACTACATCATGGCCAAGTAAAAGCCCTGGGGATGCAACGCATTGTCATGTTCTGCTTCAATTAACTACTTTGTAAAAAGAAAAATAAAAGTTGGCTCTATTGCCCACAACTTGTTATGTATCTGAAACAAATTATTCTTTGATAGTGTTGTGCTATGTTGATATTATTTGCATGCTTTGCAAAATCAGCATCTGTGCATACAGAAAACAGAAGCTGTTAGAAAGTTTGGTTGTTTGTTTTCATTCTATGATACATGTTGGAATAAGATCCAAATGAAACAGCAGAACATAATTAAAATTAGTTTTTCTTGTCTTCTTTCTTCTCCTCTAATTCTCTTTTTCTTCCCTAGCAGATCTGACGTACTACTTCCTTAGCCCTTTAAAATGATCTTTTTCCCTCTCAAATCTATTCTAAGATACTTTATGCTTTTCTAAATAACTGTCTTGTGTTTCTGTAAATGCAACCTTCTTTCAACTTTCTCACAATACATTTTGTTTCTCTAGTTTTTTCTTTTTATCCAATCCCTTCATCTGTTTTCCCTTCCTTATTTTCTCTTATTTTCTAAGAATTGCTTTTTGTTTCTTTCTTTCTTTCCTGGGGAAATAACACTCCCCCCTCCCTCTTCTATTAGTGACTTCCATTTCCCTGTCTTCTATTTTCTTGGTATCTCTATTGTGTCTCCAATGCTTCCCTTCAGTCTTTATCTTTCCTTTTTGTCTTGTATCTCTTCTCATTCTCAGTCACTTAGTACCAGCAATTTCTGATGATTCAGGAAGCATTTACACACACACACACAAGCCATTAAAAAGCAAAACAAACAACCAAACTTTCATATGGCTGAATCCAGATATTCAGCTGAATATTTTGAAAAGAAATACAAGGAAATAATGTCTAACCTGCTTTAAAAAACAACTAATAAAAACCAGTTGTTTGACTAAATTAAATTTTTTGGGGGGATGGTAGAAATTTTTCTAGGTAGCCAGGTAGTGCAATGGATAGAGTGCTAGGCCTGAAGTCAGAAAGACATCTTTGTGTATTCAAATCTGGCCTCAGACTCTTACTTAGCTGTGTGACCCTGGGCAAGTCACTTAACCCTGTTTTCCTCAGTTTCCTCATCTGTAAAATGAGCTAGAGAAGGAAATGGCAAACTATTCCAGTATTTCTATCAAATGGGATCACAAAAAGTCAGCTACGACTGAAAAATGACTGAATAACAACAAAAAGTGGTATAGTAAATAAAATGTTGAATGTAGATTTAGGACGATCTTGAGTTCAAATGGAGCCTCCGACAATAGCTGTGTGACTGTGAGCAAGTTAACCTGTCTCAATTTCCTCATCTGTAAAATGAGAATAATTAAGAGCACCTACCTCCCAAGTTTGTTCTGACAGTAAAATAATGTTATTTATAAAGCACTTTGCAGACCTTAAAGTGCTATATAAATGCCAGCTATTTTCACTGTTAAGTAGGAATCCTTCCTGTTGCAACCTTTTTTTTGTTGAAAATCATTGCCAAAGACCTTAATTAGCATATTCCCCTGCCTTAATAAATAGAAAATAAAGTTTAAAATTCCATCTTTTTTTTAATAGTTAAGGTTTTGCAGGGGCTTAGAATCAATCAATCTTCAAAACATCATTGGCAATGGTCCTATAGATATAGATGTGGAAGGCAAAGAAAATTAGATTGAAAAACCTAATTCAACCCCCAGACTTAAAAAATAAATTCCTGAAAGGAGTTTATATTCTAGTCATTTGACTTCTACTCATCAAGTACAGAGGAGAAAACACAAAGTAATTGAAGGTTCTTTCTCCTCCTGAATATACTACAAGGCAGTATATGGCATTGTTAGGTTGAATGTGACAAGTGTGCTTACGCTGGCTGGATCCTCCGGCTGCTTGTGGCCTTCTTCAGACACTTCGGGGGCTGTGGGGACTGACACGGGAAGCAAGGGAGACCTGGCCTTTCCTGCTAATCCGAGGGAAGCTGTTTTCACATGAGTCTTGGTCAGGGTAGGACCTAGGAGAGAAAACACACAGAGGTACAGTCTATGTACATCACCTGTTGGAGAACAATCTTAAGTGTACAAGTCAAATCCTACTAGATGAGGCTAGTTTTGCCATATTGGTCATTCTGTAAAGACAGATTTAGAGTCTAAAAGCAGGCTTTTAAAAAAAATGTCTTCTGAAAGGGAGGCTAACTCTGATTGAGCTACTCTTCAGTAGATGAAAATTCTCCAGTCAGAGGTAATTTCAAGTGGACTTCAAATCACACCAAGGGCTGCCTGGAAACTGCAAGCTGTTCATCAGCTCCCATGGTGTCAGGTGAGCTCATTCCGCTGACTTGCAGCTCTAGACCGGAAAACTGCATGCCCAGCTCCCTAAATGAGGACCTGAATTGTGCAGGTCTCTGGATTAGAATGATGGGGTGGGAAGTGAAGTCGGCTTCGCTCTAAGAATGGTTTTTGGATGATACATTGAAATATAGTCCCTTGTGGCCGACTTAGCAGACGTTAAAGATTGCATCCTTAATTCCTTCTGAAGGAGTGGAAGTCCAAGCCAGCCCGGCTTCTCTCAGGAACAGATTCTAATCTATGGCACTTATGAAAGGCATTGTTAAGTATATCCTAAGTGACATTCTTCTACCTGGTATAATAATAGCTCACTGACCCTGGGCATGTGGAGTGAATCACAAAACTTTTACTTTTGCTGAATTAGATTCATTCCACCTGAACACTGATTAAGTACTTAATGTGCTCAAGGCATCATGAAATCCTATATAGGAATGATACAAATATCACTTTCTATTTAATCACACATACATACATACATACATACATATGTTTTAACCATTTGAGTGTTGTCCACTAGATGACAATTTTTATTTTCAACTATAGTAAGTTATAAAACACAAGTGAGGATAAAGACAATCCATTGTTTACAGGGATGTGCAAAGCATTTAAATAATGTTGCCATGCAAAATAGGATGTTCCCAAGACAGAGGGAATGAACCAGAGAACCTAAAGAACCAATAAAACAATTAGCATATGTTTACTGAGTGCCTACTATATGCCCAGGGCTATACTAGGCATTTCAGAGGGTGTAGAATATTTCTTAAAAAATTCCATTGCTAAGGGTCATAGAATACTTAATCTAGATTTGGAAGGGTTTTCAAAGGTGTGATCTGGTCCAATCCCTCTAGTATAGTCTCTAGTCTTTACTTTCTTCTCTCTGACCATTTTCTCCACAAGCCACAATATCTTGACAAAGCTGTCTATACCAGAAGACCATGGCTTGGAGAAACTTTTGCTCTGGGGCTCCTCTCTTGGGACTGATTACTTTATTGTTTTTGTTCAGTACTCTTCTGGAGTTAAACTCTGGTCTAACTAAATCCAGGACCTGTGCTCTATCCACTGCACTATATAGCTGTTATTGGTGACTACCTCTCTTAGAACACTATTTGAGGGGGACAGCTGGGTGGTACAGCGAATAGAGCATTGGCCCTGGAGTCAGGAGAATCTGAGTTCAAATTTGACTCAGGCACTTACTAGCTGTGTGACCTTGGGCAAGTCACTCAACCTCAGTTGCTTTTCACCCTTCCCCGCCTCAGCCCCCAGCCAAGAACTGGGTTTCAGGAAAAGCACTCTAAGCATTTTTCAGCCTTTAAGGTTCTCCCATTTCCCCACAAATTCTGGGGCTATGAATCATGACCAAATCAATGCCATTGTTCCTAGGTGGAAGGTATTTATCCTATTCACCACTCCTTTAAATAAGGATAAATAAATAAATAAATAATAAGGATAAATAAATAAAGTCTTTCCCTAGCTACCTCTCCTCTTGAAACTCCTTGAGGGTGAGGATTATCTTTTCTTTTGCATTTGTATGTGTAGTACTTAGTACATGGTAGTTGGCCTATGGTAGTTGGTGGTGGTGGTCAGACATTTCAGTCCTGTTCAACTCTTCATGACTCTATTTGGTATTTTCTTGGCAAAGACACTGGAGTGGTTTACCTTTTTCTTCTCCAGCTCATTTTACAGATGAGGAAATTGAGGCAAACAGGGTGACTTGCCCAGGTCACACAGCTAGAAAGTGCCTGAGGTCATATTTGAACTCAGTTCTTCCTGACTTCCTACACTCTATCCACTTGCCACCTAGCTGCCTCTTGGCATCTGATAAGTACTTAATAAGTGTTTGTTTCATTTACTCTTTAACTCGTTCATCTAGAGCTGAAAAGAATCTTAGAAGTCATTGAGTCTAACTTCTTTTTAAAACTGAGGCAATTGAGGTAAAGTGATTTGCCCAATTTCACACCACTAATAGTGTCATAGATGGGATTGGAACCAAGATCCTATGAGACCATAGCTTGCGCTCTTTCTGCCTGACTAGGATGACTGTTCTCAAGCAGTGTACAATCTGATTGGAGAAACAAGGATTATGCCTCTTAAATAGCAAATACTAAAGAGAATAACTGGACACAAATGAGATATTATGCTGAACTAAAGTCTATAATAAACCCAGGAATCCTGAAATAACTCAGCAAAGAAAGAATGTGAAAATTCCATTCTCTGCATTTTTCTGATTTATTTACTTATTTATTTTTACAATGTAATATAATGGAAACAGCTCTGCCCTAGGAGTCAGGAGATAGATTTCGATTCCAGCTCTTACCTTTATTATCTATGTCATTATGGGCAAGTCACTTTATTTCTCTGGGCTTCATTTGCTCATCTGTAACATGAGAGGAGTGCACTAGATGGCCTCTCAGGTGGCTTTCTGCTCTGGCTATAATGATCTCAAGATCAGTAAAATGGGGACATGCAAATGTCATTGGTGACACTCCTCACAGGGTGATGAGGAAAGCACTTTGCAAACTTTAAGGAGGATTATTTTTAATGTTAAAACTGGGCAAGACCCCAGGGATCATCTAGGAGTTCAACTCCCTCCTTTGATAAGTTCCTGAGTGAATAAAACAAATTCCTGAGCTCATTGGTGGTAGAGGCAGGACCTGATTAGATTTCTGCTACCCAATCCAGCACTCTTTCCAACCGTTCCACCTTGTTTCCTGCTGTATATTTTAGAATAATGGTCCCAAGTGAAGAGTTGTCTTCCCCTAGAGAACTGATAATGTGGAAAAATGGTTCTAGGTGGTATTGAAAGAACAGAATGACTGACACTGACTCTAGATGGTACCATGCAATCAGCAAGAACCGATCAGTCAATTAATATTGATTGCATCATTGTTATGCACTCAGCATTGTGAGAGACACTGGCAGGGTCACAAAGATATGGTGTCTGCTCCTAAGGAAAGATGCAGTGTAAATAATCCTCATATTGTTAACAGACCTTAAAAGATCTTCTGCTACCGGCAGAAGGGGGCAAATCACTTAAATGTTCTGTGCCTTAGTTTCCACATCTCTGAAACAAGAGGGTTGAACTGGATGATCTCTAGAAACTCCTTAATTCTATGATACTAATTTCTCAACATATTACAATTTATGAACTCACACCATCAGGCACTTGACTTTAAGAGGTTTTTCTTAAGCTCTAGGAAACATATACTTGCAGTTTGAGGGCATCACCACAAGATGGTGATGTTAATTATTTGGTGGGACAGATGAGCAACCTGTATCTTGACGCAGGTAACTGACACATGGAATCACCAGATAGGGGAATCCCCTTTCTTAAAGATATATAAATATTGCTAATATAGCTACATGACATATATACAATTAAAATTATATAAAATTCTTATTAGAATATAAAATGAGATTTAAATGCAACAAGTACTTGGCAACTTATGTTATTCCCACTTTTATTCAGTTATTCTCTAGTCAAATATTAGGGTTCGGAAAACTAAGAATTTGGGAATTTCTTAGCATTGGCCATCTATAGCCTCATCTTCTTCCTGCATATTCTCAGTGTTGCTTCATATATTTGCAGATGAACTTGGTGCAAATGGGAACTTGTTGATATTGAAGTCAGATCTCTTTAAGTAATGGTCAACATTAGAAGCTACATGATGGCAAAACTTTGTCCCATTAAGTTCTTAAATCTTGAAGTAGGCACTTATATGTATCCCTAGTTCCAACAAAAGGAGTTAGTATGTTACAGTAAGCATATTCAACTTAGAATCAGAGTTTTGACTTCAAGTACTGCTCAGCCACTATAATACCTGTGTGGCCTCAGCAAAGTTGATAAACCTTCCTTGTTCTATTTCTTTTTGGTAAAATAAAGGAGTTTGACGAGAATTCTTCAAGAGCGAGGACTCCATTTTTATTTCTATAGAAAATCTCTGCATTGAGCTCAGTGCTTGGCATGAAGCATGCATTCTAGTGAAGTCCTGAGGGTATTCTATGACTGTTGTTATTGATTCTTTTTTGAGTCATGTTCTGACTCTTTGTGTCGCCATTTGGGGTTTTCTTAGCACAGATATTGGAAGGGTTTGCTATTTCCTTCCCCAGCTCATTTCACACATGAGGAAACTGAGACAAATAGGGTTAAGTGACTTGCCCAGGTCTGTAAGTGTCTGAGGCCAGATTTGAGCTCATGAAGATGAGTCTTCCTGACTCCAGGCCTTGCACTTTATCCACTCGGCCACCTAGCTGCTCCATTCTGTCTCTGGAGCTACCAACAAATTTTACAGGAGCTCTATACAAGTGTGAGAAAAGTGAAATCTGTGTAGGAGACTTCATGGGAGCCAGAATCTGGTCCTCCTACAAAATTTAAAAAAAATAGGACTAATTAGAAGATGTGTTAGTACATGGAACCTTAAGGAAATGTCTGCTTCTCAGTATAACTAAATAATAGCCTCTGTGACAAATTTCTTTACTTCTAAAAGGAATATACGAAAGAAGTATCCTATGGTGAAAAACTACATACTTATTTCCCCATATTTCAGCACATTGTATTTATACTTTAATTGATCTGAAACATAAATAATTACAATCAAACATAAGACCTTAATAGAGAAATGGAAATTAGTAGAGGGGAACAATAGTGTGATAACGGGCCTGGATTTAG